TGGTCAAAAGTTCTGGATCCTGGGCTTAAGAGCGACTCTAAAAGCAGTCGTACACAGCTGTCAATGGTGTAAGACAAAGAAGAGTTCACCAGAGATACCCCCCGATGGGTGACCTACCGAGCGAGAGACTACAGCATTATCAGTTTCCGTTCTCTTGCACGGCCGTAGACTACTTTGGGCCGATGCAAGTCACTATCGGAAGAAGAACTGAGAAGCGCTGGAGGGCTTTATTCACCTGCCTTACTACTAGAGCCGTACATCTAGAGCTAGTACCTTCTCTCAGCACAAGCTCAATGATCATGGCTCTCCGACGAATGGCAGCCAGAAGAGGGACCCTGAAAACCATATTCAGCGACAACGGAACCAACTTTGTCGGGGCCAAAAGGGAATTAGAAGAGGCTGCACAAGAGAAAGGCATCAAGTGGAAGTTTATTCCCCCGGGAGCTCCGAATATGGGAGGCGCCTGGGAGAGACTCGTACGAACAGTCAAAACGGCGCTAGCAGTGGTTCTCAACGAGAGAAGCCCACCCGAACAAGTACTCCATACACTAATGACAGAGGTTGTACACATCGTCAATTCTAGACCTCTCACCCCGATCAGCATGGACCCAGAAGACGAAGAGAGCCTAACACCGAACCACTTTCTGCTGGGAAGATCATGCAGAGCAATGGCACCGGGAGAATTCAATGACACGGAGCTGATCGGGAAGGCAAACTGGAGAACCACTCAAAGACTTGTAGACCACTTCTGGAAAAGATGGATCAAAGAATACTTACCCCTCCTGATGCCAAAAAAGCTCGAAAAGAAAGAAACCAAAAACCCAAGAGAAGGAGATATCGTGCTAATAGTGGACGCTACGTTACCACGAAATTCATGGCCTCGCGTAGAAGTGTAAGACTTATCCCGGACCAGACGGAAGAACCAGAGTGCTGGACGTGCGACATCAGAAGGAATACTTCGCTGCCTAACTCGACGGGTCATGGTCGCCTCCGGAGGATGAAGTGCTGCGCGCCGTGGGAGAGAATGTTAGCGACGTAATGTGAATTTAATTACTTATTTAATTTTGTTTTTATTGTAATTTAAAACTACGTTAAGATAGATAGCGACGATACGTGATTTTAATTACTTATTTAATTTCGTTTTTATTGTAACTTAGAACTATGTTAAGATACTGAAGTAAACTAAAGAACTAAAGAACTGCATATTTTTTAGGATTAGCAAGCGTGATGTTGTTGTCATGATTTAATATTATGCATTCCTGCCGCCTGGCGGCGCTAGGTGCGCTAACGCCTGCATAAGCTTGCTACTAGGAAGCTATACCGTAAGAAGACCGCTTCGGTATTTTTATTATTGTAAGGTATAAATTAAGGTTTTTAAGAATGCTTAGTGTGTAATATGATAAATATAAGTTCGTTCTAATACCAGAAATGTATAAAAACTTTGTAAGGGATGTTTTACCACAAAAAGGCATTTGTAAGCTTTCCATAGAAAAAGTCGCCCGCGCTCTGATTGGTTGACGGGAATCTATTAGTTAAGAATTGTGATTGGTCAGAGGCGCCTATAAAAAAGAGGCGTTTTTTGCGGTCAGACATTCCGAATCCGGCAAGTGTAAGACATAACAACAAGAAAATAAATATAAGAAACTCTCAAGAAGTGTTATTATTGCTCATCCTACTGCTACTGCACTCTCTCCAGTCGACATCCCGCCAGTGAACCCGCTCTCGCACACGAGTGTCAATACACTGTAACATTAAAGAAAAGACTCAAAAATACATTTCTATGAAAAATATAATGTACTACCTATAATAAGTATTAATTAAAGATAGAGATATTTATTGTAATAAATATACCTAAGATAAGTATGTATGTAACAAAAAATACATATTAATATATAACAAAAGAGCGCCATTATCGCCAACAAACTGTTGCACAGTTTGGCGATGTTTATTATTATTTTAAATGCGTGTATTTTATATTAATAAAGGTAAAAAAAAGAGTATACCTACACTACCCCATATCGTCCCGATGGAGTCCTTAGGCGACAGGGGGGAAAATGAAACGGGATATGAGCAGCAACATCTTCCTGATAGTAATTCAAAATATTTAAAAAAACTGCTGTTGTCAATACGCCTGCCAAGCGTGGCTACTATGGCAAAATAGCTCCATGAGGAAATCTATGAGGGAGGCCTATGTTCAGCAGTGTGCAGTGCTGAAATCAATGGATGGATGAATACAATAATCCTTGTTTTGGGTAAAACATTGTTATTATTAAAAAAAAATATAAAATTTCATCCAAGACATTAGAGCCGTTTCCGAGAAACCAGACCGAGTTAATAAATATAGAAAATACAAGAGTAGAATTAACGCCACCTTGAGGCACACCCGTAGTGATACCACACCAATCGTAAAGAGTGTCATTAAGACGGGAGCAGTGCGAGCGACCACGCAGATACAAATCAAAACACGCAATGGCAGATGGGAAAATGTTTATAGATAATCCAGAATAGTCTACTTAAATTTATTTTAAAAAAAAATTCCCGCTGGGTTTCTTGCTGGTTTGTCCAGGACAGAGGTTTTTTCAAACCAGTGGTAAAGTAAAAAATTGACTTTCAACAAGATTTACTTGTAATCTATATTGAATAAAAAATGTTCTAATTTATTTTATTCTATACTGAGGTAAAAGTACTGCTGAAGTCGATAAAAAAAATAAAAGTGTGAGAGATTTGTTATCCATGTCCATTTCCATGTAAATCGTTGGTTGATTTAAGTAAGGTTACTACTAATGTGGCCCATTTCCAATATATCGCCAATTTGGTCGATAAACCTTCGTCTAGGGCGTTCCTTCTAGACTGTGGCGTTCACATTTGCAATATAAATTTGCTATATGCTTTTGTATTAAGAATGCTCGATGTAATGTTTATCAATATATTGAAAAAATATAATAAAATATATTATATATTGAAAATGGACCACATTATTAGTACCCTTAACGGAGGAGCATGTATGCTTAGATATATGGATGTAAAGGAGGCGAGAGAGGTGTGTCGGGATCGTTCCAAATGGCAGTCCGTAGTCCCTGCCTACCCCTCTGAGTGACAGGCGTTAGTGCTTAAGTATGTATTATGTATGTTCTTAATACATCGATGTATATCGTCCATCAGTAAGCACTTTTCTAGGTGGACTGGTGTCTGCGTTGTTTACATCAGTGCAGATATATAAGAGATATTTATACCTCCATCTATTGCAGGTCATGTAGTTTTCTTAACATTTATAACAGTTGACTTTACGACATCTACAGGAAGAAATAATGTAATAGGTTATCTTAGGGCGAAACAAAACTGCGATCAATATGCTCTTTATAATAGGAAATAATAAAAGGGTTTATATAATATGCACTTTTTAATACATGACTACTAATTTAAAGAAACATATAAGTTTTATATAAATATATATATATATATATATATATATATATATATATATATATATATATATATATATATATATATATATATAAAATTTATAGGAGAGAGGGCAAGAGACGATTCGAACAGCCTGCGCTGGATGCGATCAAATGGAAGGAGCTGGCACTGGAGAGCCCCGGCCCTGAGATGGGAACAGTATTCTATTTGCGCCCGAAACTGAGCCTTGTAAAGTTGCAGGCGGTGAGCGGGCATGAAGTACTGTCCCGCACGGCTGAGCACGCCAAGCCTTTTAGAGGCCAATTTGGCCTTCTCTTCCAAGTGGCCACGAAACTGCACGTCACTCGATATGTCGACGCCGAGGATTCCAATACCGGCTGAGGTAACAAGGAGAGTGCCTTAAAACTGAAGAGATACGACAAAAGAGTTCTTTTTAGCGGTAAACGCGCAAACTTGTGTCCTCTGGGGATTAAACCGAACTAGATTTAGTCGCCCCCAGGCCGAGACTTTGTTCAACAAAGTTTCGACTTCAGACACAAGTTATTCCTGGTACTCGACGACGTTTTCCCGAGAAATATTGGCACGGCTGGTGTATAAAGCATCACTAGTGCTATCGTCTACATAGCAATGAATGTTACCGGTTTGCAACATATCATTGATATACAGAAGAAACAGCGTTGGCGATAGCACGCAGCCTTGTGGAACACCAGCATTAATAGCCTTGTAATCGGAGCTTGCACCGTCTACAACGACCTTGATGCTCCGATCTGCAAGAAAGCTGGTGATCCAATCGCACAATTTCTCGGGAAGCCCATAGGAAGGGAGCTTCGAAAGAAGCGCTTTGTGCCAAACCTGATCGAAGGCCTTCGCCTTTGACTCTACTGCCTCCACCCATCTGTGAGTTAGGTTAGGTTCCCGAAGGAAGACGAACTAGTTTCACGCCAATTCTGCCGATGTGCTCTGACTTTGCCTTGACAATGACACTTTTGAAGGACCTGGAGGCAGAATTGTACTTCTTTTTAAGGACGCTAATGTTTGCATCCCACGACATCGATGCGCGAGCCCAGGCCTGGTAGCACTCCTGCTTATGACGTAATGCAATTTTGCAGAAATTTAAACAAAGATATAAATAATATCTTAAAGTACTACATAATTTCTCTCACAGAATACCAGCGTAAAATAGTAGCTTAATGCTACTGTGTTTCGTATGGTGAGTGTAGAGAACCGGAGACCCTTTTTACTGGAGAGGAGGATTCCACCTTAGTCCTCACGGGTGGCAACGCAACTGCATTTTAATTCGTAATCAAGGATAGATGTAGATGTCTATGGTCCACAGTAACCACCTTTCATCAGGTGGACTGTGTGCTAGTTTGTCACCCTATCCTATTAAAAAAAAATCATTACGAACTTGCTCACATTTTTCATTGTGTGCATATCAAAACGTGATTCTACTAATGTCCTAAGATATTAGCGACCTATTTAAGTCTCAGCGTCCGGTTTTATTGGTTGTATTTATAATCCTCAAAGAGAAGTTTAAAGAAGTGGTTTAAATTAATTAAGAAAATAAAAGTATTAAAATGAAATCTGTAGTTTGTTTCGCGTTATTGACTATTATCAATTTGGCACTCTGTGATACCGTTCCACATCCTCGGGGATGCATATATATTAAGGGAAGGTGTAAGTAACAAACAGTTTTTATCATAAGTGTATGCTTTCTTCAAGTGATTCTATGGAATTTTTAATAATTAAAATATTTGGTGACTTTTGTGATTGTGTCGAATTTACAGATTCCTTTTTTTAAAGGAGAGGGGCAAACGAGCATACGGCTTACCTGATGGTAAGTGATTACCGCCGCTCATGAACAACTGCAACACCAAGGGAATTGTGTACTTACAGCAGTAGAGATAAGAGATACGCTGCAACGTAATTTAGCTGCAGCTCAAATACCTAAATCGTACAAAAATTTTACACGCACAGAATACCGCTACCAAAAGGCAGCCTGTTACCGCTTTATTTCGTGTGAGTGGCGAGCACCGAAGACCTTTCCCTTTAACCTCTATCTTGACGTTTCAGTGTCATTATAATCAATATAAGATAAATATAAATGTTTATGCAGCAAAACAGTAAAAATTACCTCGATAGACCACCCCTTCGCGTCACGTCATTCATACTTGATTGATAGATTAACCAACTTCTCGTTAATTACAATGAGGGTAATAGATGACACTTTCGGAATTAAAGAGAGTGATCTGTTGCCGAAATCAGTATGCTAATAGGGAATTAATCCACTTTTTATTGACTTGCAGGTTACAGAGAATGTGAGGAGGGTACTCAAGCTTACGCTCTTGGATGTGGTTACTTGACAAAGGAGGCGACATGCGAGGAACCAAATCCTCAACCAGACACGCGTGCAAACATTTGCGACATTTCTGTTTGCTACTGTGCTCCTCCGACTGTTAGGGATCCCGTCACTAAGAAATGTGTCCCGCTGGAAGAGTGCACCAAACAGGAATAATTTGAAACCAACAAGAAAGATTTTTTTTTAAATAACACAGCATTCATGTTTCTCTAAATTACTAAGATGATATTCGTTACATTATATTTAAGTCCATCTTTTTATCACGAAATGAGTTTTTTTTTATTTTGTTTCCACCTACTTGACTTGTCGTGCAATTTTTAAATTATTTTGCCATACTGTCGATATTATTGTTACGAGCTTGAGGTTCGTGACAATAAAAATTGCCGATAGAATTACCTAAATTAACACTTTATCATTAATTAAAGTTAGAAACACTAATAATTAATCACACTGATTCACTTTATTCCGCTCCGAAGCTTCGCTTGTCTCGCCAACTTCAATACTTCCCCGATCGCATCTTGCAGCGCCTATAAATATAAACTAGCACCAAAATATCCAGAATATTCAAGTAAACACGCGCAAGGTACCGAGAGTTCGAGTTTCAACTTCAAGAAGTTTAGTTCTTCGGTTCAAGACTAGATGGCGCTAGTGCCGTCGACTTAGGCGCGTAACATTATCAACTATATATATTCTACAATTATCATCACAACTAAATATTAATTAATCGTCTTAATTTTTTTTGCTTTTATTAATAAATTAAGTGCTTAAAACAATGAAATTGTAATTATGCTTTGAACATTGATGGACATTAAATAATATAAAAACAATTAGCTAATTCTCTTTCCACCATTTATTTGTAATTAGACTATCGACACTGGTTGATGCAAATATATCCTATACCTTTAAACGAGCAATTGTTGTATATATAATCGGAATCTCGGAAACGGCTCCAACGATTTTCATAAAATTTAGTGTCCAAGGAGTTTCGGGGGCAATAAATCGATCTAGCTAGGATTTATTTTTAGAAAATGTCCTTTTGTCCTTGCATACCTTTAAACGAGCAATTTTTATATTATAGAATGATTGTTTGGGGGCATCGGGTTTTAGAAAATGTCCTTTTGTCCGTGTTTTCAGGCAATAAAATAACTGCTACAATATAAGGAGGCAAATTTTGACACATTGCTAACGATCGTAATAGCTCAGGTGGGATGTCGGTCGGGCGTGATTTGGGGTTCCGTGTTTCGCGTCCCGTTGTGGGTCCGACTTTTTTTCCTTTTTTTTTCAAGTTCCCTTCTTTTTTGAGAAAATCTATTAATTCGAGCCCTTTTTTAGTATTTTTTAAAAATACGAAAATTATAATTAATCTAATCGCACTCAAGATTTTTTATTCAAATAACCAGTTCAATTTTTTCTATTATGTCAATAAGATCAAAAACTATTATTCATGTAATTTGTATATAAATGTAACTTAAAAAAACCGAGCAAAGCTCGGTCATCCTGGTACTATCAATAAAACTAAAAAATATTTTAATGACAGTCAATAAATAATTTCGTCATTTTATTTGTTTTAAATATAATAGGTCGGGGGAAAAGTTTCTTCGTATTTTGTTTGTATAAAGTTGAATCAAAATCTCTTTGGTTATTTGTATCTTGTTAGTTTAATATCAATATATATAGGACTTTAAGAAAAAGATAAACTAAAAAACAAAAGTTTTTCTTTCCGCTAAAATGAGTGAATTTAACGAATATATTTATTAATATTATATAATTAAGATTCTTCTAAAGAATACTTCCAAAGAAGAAATTAAGAAAGAAAACAATACATTCTGAAATTTTATTACAAAAAAGGGAAAATAATGACTCAAGCCGCAAAAAAATTGTGATGTTTAGAGACCTAATGCAGTGTCAGTAAGAGTAGCATAACGTTGGTTCAAGCCAAAGACATATAAGTAGCAGTAGTAATAGACCGGAGATCAGCAACAAAATTGTCGTCTGTAACTTTTGTCCTATAGGATATATCTCCGATTTTTGTCAATGAGTCTTAGTGACATCATAGAAAAGTCAAGACGCGTTCGTTCCATAAATTTAAAAAATATTTTTAAAGAAAATATGCCCGGTTGTGCATTAAGGTATTGTAAGTCACGACACGGAGCAAAAAATGAACGTGATTTCGGTTTATTATCCTAAGAATAACGTATATTTACCAAATAATCTTTAAATTTTATTATTTCTTGTAGATTATTCTAGAAGAAAGAAAAAAATATTGTGATAAGTGCCCTCTGTTATCCAGTAACATCACTATTTATTTACAAATATGTTAGTGATTGACGACGTGCCTAAAACGGATTTTACCTTATGTTTAGTAGCGTCACCTAATTTGTTTAAAGGAAATAGCTAAAATGTTTTCTAAATAAATATTCAGCGTAGTATTGTTATTTTTCGCTAGAGGGTTAACACACGCGCTCGCTCACAGTTTTTGCATGCAAATGTTCCCAATATTCGCTCTATAGAATATATATATATATATATATATATATATATATATATATATATATATATATATATATTTGACTTACTCTTTGGTTCAAGCGTTTTCAGTCCGGGTCGGCTGCTATTTAACCCTGTGAAAAACACGATCGAACCGAGTCATTAGCAATGCAGCCACTATGCCAGTACTGGCCCTGAGTACGACGTTAAAATTATATACACTCACTTTTCTTCGTACTTACTCGCATTCAGCAAAATTATGTTTGTTATTGTTACGAAATGATGGGCAGCAGCGTTTTGCCCATAACAAATAAAAATATTGCAAAACTGAGACTGTCAATCCGCCTGCAAGCATGGTAATTATTGCAAACATCCCCAGGCATATTAGGTGATCTATGGAGGAGGCCTATGTTCAACAGTGAACTCTTGATATTTTGCGAAGGTAACCGTTTGCTAGTTATTGCTGCATAAGTCCGATATCCGTTATTCAAAATACTCGTCATCCTCGTCATCATCAGCAGCCTGTGGCTGTCTAACTTGAGATAATGTCGTAGTTTTTTCTTTTTTAAAAATTCACTTTCAAAGCAAATAAAAGAAATACTTAGATTAGTGACAACACAAGAAGATCGTATATAAAGCTATAAATATGTTTTCTAAACCAAATTTGATTTTGCAAATTTAATCACGCTTGCTAAGAAAATATTTCAGAACGACGCAATGAAACGCTGACCCTTAGATATTATTGTTGTGGGCTCTGAGCTATGACGTATGTTAGAAAGCTAAGGCGTATCTGGCCATCCCGCCAAATACGCCTTTATGACTTTTACATAGTTTTATAGTCGGACCTTCTGCGAAATATCCGATATTTGTGAAAGAGAAAGCGCCATTATAGACATTCACATTACTTACAATATAAGTCCATATTTTTTTAAATACTGATGTGATAGTGATGGACGTAAATATAAACGTGATAGAGCCACGTTTCAGCTAATGAAAAATTATTTAAAGTCGGCTTTTACTTTCAATTATGTATTATTTTTACCAATTATATATAAATATATAATTATTTATATAATAATCCTATAAAATATCCATGTTACATTAACCATTTTACTGTCCAGTGAGTCGTATATGAAAATTTCGATTCTATTACATTTTTTAATTTCATTTTCAATTTGTTTTTTTTATTTTCGATTGTTTAACTATTGTGTCTTTTTCGCGCACAGTGATGTTGTTAAAAACTATCTCAATTGATGATGACATTATGGAAGATATCGAGTAAGATACAAAAACATACAGCCAAATTCTAAACTTCCTTTTTTGAAGTCGACTACACTTGCACTTGCAGCACCTAGTCGGACTATTTGTCTCAGGTACTCATCAACAACTTCAAGCATAGTGCTCCCAACAGCCATCGGCATAAGTGTGACATGGACATTATCTTTGTTTTGTCCATGTTCACCTTAATACCTATCTGTTGGGAGACGCTATTGAGGTCATAGAGCATAGTACTTAGATCCTCCAGCGATTCTGCCGTAAGGACTGTGTAGACGGTATTACGAAGGTAAGTTATGTACTCGCCATTGATTTAAATACCGTATCCTTTCCAGTCCAGCAGCTTGAAAACGTCTTCCAACGCAGCGGTGAAGAGTTTAGGGCATATAACGTCATCCTGTCTTACACTTCTCTGCAGTTGGATAGGTTTCGAACTCTAGTTCTGTACTCGAATAGCCACCGTAGCCCTACTGTACAAACATTCAGCACTTCGATATACCGACAGTCAAATTGACACCTCTGAAGGAACTGTAGCACCGCCCAAATTTCGTCGGAATCAAAGGCTTTCTCATAGTCCACATACGCCAGGAAAGGTGGCAGATTGTACTCTTCGGTCTTTTGTACAATCTGCCACAGGTAATGTATGTGGTCTATGGTACTGGAGCTTTTTCGGAAACTGGCTTGTTTCTGAGGCTGGAAGTCGTCGAGTCTGCGTAAGAGACGAGCCGCTGCCGTGTAGTGGCGGTTAAGAATATCCACTATCCCATATCTTGCCGTGGGTGTCGTAAAAGGCGACGGAGGTAAGAAACAACGTTTTTTTATTGCCAACTATGGCAATAAAAACCCCCATGATAGTTACGCCCAATCCCCGGCGGACCCGATATTCCTGGCTACGGTTGCGACCATGGTAACGGCGGGGCAGGGGGTGCTAAGAATCTCCGGTGGAGGTTCGGTTGCCACCTGGGAAGCCTTTTTATGTCATTGCTTTTTATTTCAAGGTGTTTTTTTTTTAGTTTAATTTTCCTCGATGTATAGTCTGTTCACTTAGATAAACTCGCTTTTGTGCCGCACCGCCTCGGCACGTGACGCACTTTGTTAAAGGCGCGACATTAAAGGTCGTGTTGTGAAGCACTCGAAACGTCTGGAATCAAAAAGTCAAAATTAAACGCGATAAAATCCGTAAAATTAATTTCTTTAATGTTTAGTGTCCGCGTAAATATCAGAAATCATTATGGTAAACTTATTGAAGTTCTAAAATATTTTCAAAAAGAATAATATTGGTGTCAAAGGTAGTAATAAAAATATTTAATCTATTGATATAATTACAGCTAGACATTACCTGCCACAAGTTCATGGTAGTATCGGCAAGCAGTATCGGCTAGCCTTCATTTATT